GGGCTGGGGTGGGGGGAAATTATCGTAAACTGCCTGAGAAATAGCTTTAGGATTTTGTAGGCATTCATTCTAGCGCAGCAGGCGATGCATGCAGTACATACGGCGCTCCTTGGCCGCGGGCTCGGGAACGGCCGGGCGTGCGGGAAGTGGGGACAGGGACGGAATAGCCGTGTCCTCACCAAAACCAGCAGCCCCTGGCGATGCTCCCCCGCGGGCGGGCGGGCCGGGCACTCGGTGGCCACCGGCTGGCAAGACCTCTGGGAAGAGGGACCGTATCCCTAAGGCAGAGCGCCTGCGGCAGGACAGGCTCCGGGGGGACACGGGGCGCAGAGTACCCCCAAAATGCGCCTTCCTGGCCATTCCTGGGTCCATGGGCAGGGAGGGGCAGTTCAGGCATGACCCAGCTCTCTGGAAGCTCAAAGGGCTTCGGTAGACACAGGTTTTCCTCCAGAAGGGTTTTCCTACCCTGGTTTTCCTGAACCGGCTGGGAAGGGAGCGGAGGTCGGCTTGGAGAGCCCAGCTTTGATATGAAACAGGATGCAGCCACATCCACAGCCTGCTTGAGGCTCCTGCAATCCTGGAAAGCTGCATCAGGGGAGTAAGAGGCAGATTTTTAAGGCTTAATCCCGTTTGCATGAGAAGTGGATGCAGACAGCATCCTTTCTACCAGAGCAGGGAACTTCACTGTTTCTGAGCAGGGTCATTGGAACACTGGAGTTCCCATTTCCTAGGAGTGCCTCACCTCCACCTGGGCACAGCAGGGCTGTGGAGAGGGGGATGTGTTAGAGCAAATTAGGGATTTTAGCAAACAACATCCATAAAAGCATTTTAGAAATGCGTTCCCATTGCACATGGGAAAGCTTTGAATCAGGAAAATGGGAAGAAACAGTTTTTTTACTGAAAGATGCAACTGAAGTAATGATCCTAATGAGATTTTGCCTGAAGGTTTCTAGGCCCCAAAAGGCAATGGTGAGCTGTGCAGAAAATCTGCTTGAGACTTGAGCAGTGATTTAGTGGAAGGAAAAAGGAAAAACCGAGGAATTTCCGAAAAGGAATTTCCTCATGTTGCCACTTGCTCTGGCAGTTTCCCAGGGGTGGGTGTCAGTGCCCTGATCCCAAAATGCATCAGCCTGCTCACAGTTGGAGGGTCTGGAGGAGAAGAGACTGTTCCTGGCTGGTGTAGCCATTAGGGATGAGCTTTGTTCCCTGCAGGCGCTCTCCTCAGGGATGCCAGTCCCCCGTCCCCCTCCCAGCCTGCTGCCCTGTCACCCTG